CACACACACACACCCACACACACACACACACACACACACACACACACACACACACACACACACACACACACACACACACACACACACAAACTGCCACAGCTGTGCAGCTAAATGAGCCAAGTATTGACTTCGGACCCTTTGCTTTACCCAACCATTATTCTCGCTTTTCATTGGTTCCTTTTGTCCGGTGCATTCCTGAAGTTTCCAAAATAATGTATACAGGAGGTTAAAATGTTGTATGCGCACACAGTGAAGCAAACACTCCATTTGAAAGGTTACTTCTTGTGCACACTACCATCTATGTCTGTCGTCACAGACTTTCACACACTAAGGTCACTGCGGCCATTCGCTGATTTTATTCTCTGCAATGGATTGATTGAGAAATAAATAAAGAAGAGAGAGAAAAGAAGGAAATTGTTGTAGAGCAATAAGAATGGAAGAAATAATATAAGAAAAATACCTGATCCTAGAAAAGACCTAGGAGAATTCCTTGTTGTGCATTCCCCCCTTTATTTGTCACATTTGGCGTTGGGATTCAGACAAAGCGAGATCAGAAATATTGGATGATTTACAGAATGTTATTTATGTGTATGACCGTATTCTTCTGAGGACATTGGCAGATCTATCTGTCAATCCCAAAATGTGTTTTCCTTGCATTGTTTTAATTTGAAGTCGAGCAGCTAAATCACTATGATAGGCTCTGATTTCCTTGTATAAATAAATGGCTGTTAACAATTCTGGAAAACAATAGTGTCTGATTAGGATGCGTTTATCAATAACAAAATCCAAATGAACCATCAGCATGTTCAATGTGAAGTCGTCGCTGAGGCTCAACTCAAGCCTTTAGATATGTCTGAATATCTGACCATGATAAAAAAAATGTTTAATCCATAGATTCAATTAATTGATTTCCTCCTTTAGCAAGTCAATTATTTATAGTCGCTGTGACTGAAAATGCACCAAACAGATGATCAATGTCAGAGATAGTGGTTTTGCAAAGCAAATCAGGCCATGGAGACAGAGCTGCTCTGAGCCACAGACAGTGTTTGCTCTACAGTCTCTTCTCACCAAACTGCTGCTCTTACCCCCATCACGTATTTCTGACAGTTTGGCTTCAGCTTTCGGCACACACATGAACATTTCTCTCCCAGATGGATGAGCAGCACATACTTCAGCTCTGGAGAAAGCAAACTATCCAGGGATGCAGCAGCCTGGGAAACTCCTGGCTAACTTCTTCTCTGCAGGATGATGATGTGCAAGATGCTAAACTCTCAGCTAAAGGCAACTTTAATTGAGGCCTTTTAGATCCACCAACAGTCAAAAATAAATGTAATTTGTTTCTGTCACTGAAAAAACTCACACTAATCTTTGAGTTAAAATGGTTTTCTAAACGTTTCTAATAATAGGAAAAAACTTGTATGCACATTTTATCTGTCGTCCTGTATATAACAATGCAATATTTTTATATAAGAAATGCTATTTAAAGCTATAGTCAAAACTGAGGTTACTAATCCCATTTATGTAACACAATATTAAAGCCAATAACAAATATTTTCGGTGGATTTCTTCCAAATTACATTGAAAGCTACATTTTGATTAACCAATTGAAGGACGAATTGGATGCAAAGTACATTTTTGAAATAACATTGGAGCTCATGGAATGCACAAACACTCAATTAATGGAAACAAACCAACTTTCATGCAGATGCACACAAAAAAAGAGTATTAATTACACAAATAACCAGAAAATCAAAGCAATTGAAACACAGGATAAAGTGAGAATAGGACAGTGCTTACCTTTGTGAGTGGCCTTTATGGGGGAATAATCACTGCAGTCAGACTAAAAGCAGAAAAGCAGGAAGACAGACTACCACACAGGGAACCCTGGGAAATGTGCTCATAACAGACGTACACCTTGTGGACACGGCTTATATCTGCTGGAGGGTGGAGCCACTCAGTGGGTGGGGGAGAGCGAGAGAGGAAGGGAGGGATGGACTGAGTGTAAATTTAACCTCCTAAAAAAGTAATACCATAATTTAGAATGGCAAAACAGGCTCACATGACCCTGCTAGGCGCCCACAGTGGATGGCAACGATAAAGAGGAATGTTTCCCTCATTAATATTGTGATACACGGGCCACTGTGTGTGCATTATTCACATGTATGAGGCCACATGTGAAAACATTTTTGGATCTGACCGAAAGAGAATTTGCATTTTTGAGTCAGAATTCTGAGAAAAAAGTCAAAATTGTGACTTTAATCCTCTTCCCTAGCCCCCCTACCCTTTCTGTGTGACTCTGAACCTCAAGTTGTCCCCAATTGCATGCAGCTCTGCGATTGGTGTGTGAATGAGAGCCACAATTGTAAAGCACTTTAAATGGAGTCCATTTATAATTGATGCTGTTGCTACACAATATTACATTATTGCCTTTCAAAATATGGGCGTAACTTATAAAACAGTTCAAATTTAGCAATAATCTAAAGATACATGAAGCTTCTCTGTAGTCCGCCATGCCCACAGTATAATGAATTCTGAATGGGGGCCAATGTGAATGGATTATGTATTTTGGTTATACAATTAAACATCAATACCGTTACTTTTGAATATTGTTAGTTCGGTTACGTGACTTTCTGTAAGTAAAAAGTTGTTGGAAATGTAGAACAGTAACTTAAAGTATTTATATTACTGTTTCTATCATATGTTTCATTATTCGCAATCATAAATTCAACATCTGCATTCGATGCCAAGCAGAGGGAAAAATAACATCCGTGCATTTACACCTGTCATGGCAACAGAGTGAAATAATTACTCAGCATTACACGTGGTGAAAAGGTGTCGGATGAGCACTAAGAAGTAAATTCAGTCACAGCTGTGGACTAAAAATACGCTTTTTCTCAGAGGGCCTTTGTTAGTGTGTGACGACAGACACTTTCCAGGGCAGGTTCGACACCTGTCCACAACAACTTAGTAACTCTGACGTGTTCAGCAACTAACTATTAAACAGCACACACACACAGCACCACCCTGTGTTCTGCACCTTCGCTATGACCGTGTGTTTTCTCAATTTCCTTTGCGTCAATCGCCCTTGTGATTTTAGATAGAGAACAGAGTCCACTGTGTGTCCTAGTGGAGGGTGGCTTTATTTTGTGTGTGTGTGTGTGTGTGTGTATGTATGTATGTGTGTGTGAGGATAGTGGGTGCATGCGGTTCCAAAGTGACACAGTGGTGTAAAAGGGTGGATGTCCTGTTGCATCTCCGACAGCCAAGTGTCAGCTCAGTCAGCTTACTGCTCCCATCATGACTGTCTTACTGTCAGTCATTTCTGATGAAGTTCACAGTGATTTCAAAATGTTAGTATTATGTTAAGTGTGGATGAGACAGCAACAAACACAAGTCCTTTAGTTATATTGTCTTATATCTGTATAGAATAGCACTAAAGCCCTTTTGTAAAAAGCCACCTGGTGTGCCAGGCCTCATAGATATTGGTCAGAAGCGGCCTGCTACACCTACTAGTAGCTTTTACAGGACTTTTACCCAGGAGACTGGTGTTTGTGTCCCAATTCAAATTAACAAGGTTAAGTTATACTTAAAAAGGTATTCATTTGAACCAAAAGCACAATCTTTTCCTAAATGAACCCAAGAATTGTGGTTGTATTTTCACAAAGAAGTTGACTTCTGGAAGTTGTTCACTTTCACAACGTAGTAGGTGCAGTTTGGCCAACCTAACTTATTAAAATGTTAATGATTACCACTGATAACATCAATTTAATCGGCTGATAACAATGACAATGTTTCAGTCATTTAAGCTTTATTGTGACAATGTTTGTATTTTTAAGGTAACCCATAACATAAGATTAAGTACCACAATGCGGTATTCATCTTCTTGGGAGCATAGCTTGTAATTGTTCCCCCTACCGCCCACTCAAATACAACTAATATAAATGCAATAAACACAGCACACACACACTCACAGGAACACACTTAGAGTTGCGGCGTGAAAGGTACACGATAGCCAGGGGGTAATGAGTTGTGTGTGTTTACCCATCGTGCTTCAATTCTCTTCCTGTTCCATTAATGAAGCCTCAATGGGCCTCACAACTGCTTCTCACCACCCGGCCTCCACCTGTTGTACTGTAAGCTGCTGAATGTGTAAGTAGACCCATTGCACCGACTCAGTACAGTAAAACCCTCAACCGTGACTCATCACACATCAGCAATCAATTTTTCCTTGTAAACGATACTCACAAGGTTTTATACAATGTGTAGAATACTACAAAAATGACCTTGCATAAACCATACGTCAAAATGTAAGGGATTAAAGTAACGGCTTCAAATGCAAAGCTAGTCTAACGAAATACTGTTGTATCACACAATGCTCTTTCCCACTAGTATAAATTAAGGAAACTTTTCCTAACTGAGTGCTCACAAACGCACACAAACGATCACCCACATATTCTTTTGTGCACATACCCAGACATAGATTTGCACACAGTATATATGAGTGTCTTTGTTTTCCCACCAGCTGGCATGCCCCCTCTTTGCCCTGAGAAAGTTTATGATGCATATTATGCATGAAATAGCCCAGAGCCCCTCGATGAGAGTTACACTAGGTATTTGTTTTTTTGCCTCAGCGTTCCCACTTAAACGCTGAATGAAAACACTCATTTGGTTGCTCTATAAATACTGCCTAATAATAATCCAAACAAGTCGATGCCAGACAGAGTGGCATTTTAGACATAAGACGCAGTATGCCTGTCAATGTGTGGAAATGTGCTTATCAGATGTATTTGTTACTTCCAGAGCAATCTGTGTCCACTTGTCATTTATCATTCTGTCCCTTGCTCTCAGTCCCCAATTTTCACAGATCATTTGTCTGTGACCTCCGCTCCTCACACTATGTCTGCTCCTATGTTTAAATCACAGCATCTCACCACCTCTGCTTTAGGCCATCATGACAACTGTAAATGCATCTTTGTATTTTATTTGCACAGCTGTGAGTTTATTTTTTACAGTCATAAAGCCGAGAAAATCAGCCGATCACCACAGCAACTCACTGAATCTGTTTTTTCACAGTTTACCATTTGCTATCCCATGGTCCCTGTCACATATTTAGATGAGTTTATGGCATCTGACTTTGTAAGGCTGCCACATTCCTTACTCTTTCTCTCTTCAACATGAGGCAATGTTGGAATTTGCAGTGCAAACAGAGTAAACATCTGAATGTGTCCGTGTCACCTCGTCCATAGGGACAGAGAGCTGTGGAATTTAGACTGTCCAGAAAAAACAAACAAAATACAAGTGATCAATTAAACAATCCGTGTCACCAACATAAGAATAAAATACTTTATACATACTATTTTGGCAGTTTCCTAAAAAGAGTGTCTCCATCCTGCATCATCACGTAAACATAGTGTACAAATATGTATGTCCCTCATGCCAGATTCTGATCTCACACTGAGTTAATATTTACCTCTTCATGATGTCACCAACAGCATCCGGCTGGGATCTTTCAGCAGAGAGGTAAATCAGGGTTATACCCACAATGCTTTTCAACAAGTGTGTGATCAGCTTCTTTCTTTTTAGACTTTTACTATTTTGAACTTTTGCCCCAGTGGCCAGAACATTGAACCTTGACCTTCCTTCTCTGACCCGAGAGGTCACACTGACCTAACCCCACACGTGAACAATGGAGGGCAGTAAACCAAGAAAATTCAGAAATACGTCACACATTTTATCAATACAACTAATGCACAATCCATGTTCATAGACGCTGCATAAACCTCACTCTTATCATAATGTTGGTCGACAGTTTCTTCAACACTTTGATTCAGACAGAAACATCTTACAACTGTTGGATGCTTTGCCATTCAAATTGGTTCAGACATTCATAGTACCCAGATAATTGAATCCAAATGACTTTGTCTTTAGCTGTTTAAGTGTTTAGAGCCTATAAGGAAACATGAGCATGCTAATATGCTATAGGCTACTAAGACAGTGAACATGGTAAACAATGCTTGCTAGTTAGCTGAGGAGCATTTAGCTCAACTCAACAATAAAGTGAAGGATTACAGCTGATAGCACAAATAAACCTGTTACCTTGAAAGTAATGGTTGTTTTCTCTCTACTGTCCTTTTTAGAATATCCACCAAACTGTGTACAGCCTACGGCAGTCAAATGTACAGTGCATTCCTCATTTTTTAACATAGCTAGCTTGCTAACAGAAGCAAGCTAACTATAGATTTAAAGTTTCCTTAAAGATAGATGTTGTCTTTTTTATTTCATTTTTAATTAAAGGAAATATTTGTGACAGACACTGTAGTTCAATAGTTCCCTCTTTATCACAGGTCATGATAACCATCATGTCGCAACCTTCAGCCGACACCTGCTCTACTCAGGGTGGGTACTTCTCATTCCTTGCCCCCTACCATTGGTCTAGCAATAAATCATTGGGTTTAAGAGTCCCCTGTGTCACTTCAAAAATGCCCCTCTCACCACCAACAAGGCCAGAGGTTTGTTATTCAGTTTTTTAAGAAAACAAGCTTGCTGCTCACGCGGTGGGGCTCCCAGGATTTGTCCCACCACCTCCCCCCTCTCACAGACCTCCACCCCATGAAACAAATGTACACTGTCGAGTTTCAGACGTAAGGCGTTCCAATGAGGTCAAAATCCCACAACCTTTACTTTATTTCAAAAAAAATCGTCCATCTGTCATATGTACAATATATTTGATCTACTACAAAACTGGGGTTACGGACAACATAAACTATTTTATCACATATTTTGGCTTGTTCTCTCACAAAGTGGGACTACATGTGTAATATATCCATCACGGCAGGCTCCCATGGTTCAGGCCCAACCGCTATGAC